GTAGAGTAGAGTAGAGTAGAGTAGAGTAGAGTAGAGTAGAGTAGAGTAGAGTAGATTGGACTTTAAAGAGTAGAGTAGATCAGAGTAGCGTAGACTACCGAAGGGCACAGAAGAGAAGCAATTACCATTCCCATCATCTACGGCTGATTCAAGCATCGCACTTAACACGAGTTGCACTGTGACGCGTCGTTAATCATGCACTGGTCAGCATGTGGCAGCACGGCGCACTTAGTTGCAGCTTATCCGTCGTATGTAGGTGCAAATGACGTGACGGAGTCTCAAATTAGGGGGATTGAGTAAAGAAATAACTTTTCCACCAGCAGCTGCAGCTGCAACCAAGCCGACAATCCTTGAGCGCCAGCAGCATGAATGAAAATAATTAAAGCAAAAGGAAAATCATAGCAAAAAAGAGGAAGAAAATAAAAAATAGGAAAAACTTTGCTGCGTCTCAAGTGTCAACGGGCGAAAAGTTTCTCAAGCTTTGCGCAAATTTATAATTCGCCGTCTTCCAGCTTAAAGTCCAACATCAATCTGGAGCATGCAAATGTCAAATGTAGGAGTTCAGACACACCCAAATATGTCAATATATATGCACAGATATATTAAAGAGTTGGAAAGTGCAAGCTTAAAACGACTTTAGCATTCTTTCAATCTCAGATTGATTTTACTTATTCACGAACTGGATGAGTATATTGCTTGCCGTCAGTTTCCACTCTATTTTTTCCGTCTGTCGCCCAGCTATGCGTCTTTATACTAGTACCTAAATCGATAAACCTAACCTAAAAATCTGTGGATTATATTTGTGCAACATTCTCTCGTGCTTACACTTACTTAAGATCATATCGATTAAGACGTATCGTTGAAGTTTCTTAACATTTCAGAGCTACTGCATTCAAGCACTCAAAAGTGAAGCCAACTTTATGCATAGTCACTTGATAAAGATAAAGTTTGACAGAATCTGACTTTAATGTTTCCACTTTAAAGCACTACGAGCAAAGTGGAAAAGGTGATGCAGCGTTTTTCTTAAAGTTCTTCCATTCTGCTGTTTCTCATCGGAGCTCATTGTAAATTATCGAAGCAGGCGAAACAACAATTTGAACTCCCTGCGGATGGGAAATGGCTTGGAAAAGTCTCTCTCTCTCCTTCTCTACTTTTGTTCAATTGAAAGGGTCAGCATCTTGCGAGTCATCAATATTTCAATTAATTTCGCACCTCGGGGAGTTGAGTTTTTCTTCTTAATGCGCCCGCGAGTATGCAACGCACTGTGGGCGTGGCGTTGCATACTTTTAGAGTGCACTGTGGAGCTGTAAGGCTGGCGTTATAATGGCGGAAATATGCCGGGATTATATAAACTTTATATCTAAGCGGATCTAATATAAGTGTGTGTGTGTGTGGGTGAAAGGGGTGTGTGTGTGTGATTGTCTCTCTCTCTGTGTGTGTGTGTGTGTGTGTGTAGTGAGGCTTGTTTGTTGTTTAACTGAAGTGTGACAACTCAACAGTTTGATTGATTGGCCTTAGGCGCCATGACAACTAAATCATTTTAAAATGCGTGTGCGTGTGTGTGTGTGTGTGTGTGTGTGTGTGGACGTAATTCAATTGACAAATACTAAAGTGACTAGAAGGCGGGCAAGCGACAACCGAAAACGAATAAACATTGAACACAAATTCAATTTTATGCTTTCTTTATTTACTTACTTATGCATATGCATGTATTTATACCCACGCACACACACACGCTGACATTTATCTGTACCTGTGTGTGTGTGTGTGTGTGTGTGTGTGTGTGGGTGCTGATTGAATTTGATTTGAGAACGCGCACGCAGCATCTTTAAGTCATCTTAACAGTCAGCAACATAAATCCAAACACACGATTTGTGAATCTCACATAGCTTTAGCTCCTGCTCCAGCTCCTGCTCCCGCTCCTGCTCCTGCTCCCGCTCCTGCTCCTGCTCCTGCTCCCGCTCCCGCTCCTGCTACAGCATTCGATTTCAAATCTAGCTGCCTGATTTGGTCGACGTGTTGAGCATATTACGTATACGACATGTTCGCGCGCCAGCTAAGGAAAACATAAATAAGTATGCGTCGCTTGGCGCTCTGACAGCACCAAATTTATAAGCGTCAGTTGGGCGATAAAATTTGATTGCCGCAAATAAAAACGGTTTGGGGGCGTCTGGGCGTATGGGCGGCAGGAAAAACAAGGCATAACAAGCATCAAGCAGCCAAATACCACAAAATTTGTATAGCCGGCCCTAATACAAACGAACCCCATTACAAACGTACACGGCAAATGCCACTGGCTACAACAACAACAAGAGCTACAACAGCAACAACAGCAACAGCAGCTACAACAACATCAGCCAAAGTCCAAACTCGATGACATATGGCCGAAATGTGTGCGTGCTGTTTAAGTTAAGGCCCCCTTTGCGTTTCTATGATTACAAATTTAAGCAGCCAATCCTGCATATGGCCCAAAGAACATCAATTCGAGCTCTACATTCAGCTACCTACCTCAGCGCCAATAGACGTAACGCCAACCAGCCCCATCCCAGGCAGGCGGCACGTTCCACTACATACGTACGTATGTATGTGTGTGTGTGCTGCTCATATGCCAGCAATTTGGTAATAGAATCCGGCACGCCAGCGCAAATTTTAATGTGCAGCGTTTTACAACACTTGATAGATGTAGATAAATTTGGCACTTAAGGCTGATGTCGACTCAGATCTCTTCGGCAATACCCTAATTGGGGAAGGCTGCTACAATATCTACATGCATGCATAGATATGTATGCGGACTACTACTACTACTTTTGCTACTACGGTACTAATACTATTTTACTACTATGTAGTTTTACTACTAAATACTATGTTATAACTAGTCTACGACTATTTTTCAACAATTCCCCTACTGCTACTATTTTACTTCCACTTCTACGACTCCTCTAATACTACTCCTCTACTGGTATTTAACTACTGTTCTACTACTATTCTACTTCTTCCCTACTACTACTCCACTGCTACTCGATTGCGACTTCCGATACTAGTCTACAACTACTTTACCACTCCTCCATTAGCATTTAACTACTCTTCTACTACTATTCTACTCCTCTTCTACTCTACGGCTATTCTACTAGTAGTCTACTAACCTTCTACTACTACTACTCTACTTCCGATACTAGTCTACAACTACTTTACCACTCCTCTATTAGCATTTAACTACTTTTCTACTACTATTCTACTCCTCTTCTACTATTCCTATACGTCTATTCTACTAGTAATCTACTAACCTTCTACTTAGCTTCTACGACTACTCTACTACTATTCTGCTACTTCCCTAATACTACTCTACTGCTACTCGACTACGACTTCCGATATTATGCTATAACTCTTTTACCACTCCTCTACTACCATTCTACTACTTGTTCTACATCTTCTCTACTAGTACTCTAATACTATTCTATTCATATTTTTCCTATCCTTTTACTACTGTTTTAACACTCTTCTACTACTTTTCTACTACTACTTTTGTAATTATTCTACGGCCATCCTACTTTGACTCCGTCAGTTCTCTACTACTATTCGACTACTACTTTGCTACTTATTTTACTACTACTTGTACTACCATTCAATTTATACTCATCTTTCACTCAATTTCTACCTCTACTACTATTCTATTACAACCCTCCTTCTAGTCAGCTATTATTCTAATAATACTATTCCACCACTACTCTCTTTGTGCTCCACTACTATTGTATAATGAGGATACTTTCAGGCAGACTTCTCGTCATGAATGCTTAATGTGCTTTATAGGCTCTGCTATTTATATAGGCAATCATGGCATTGGCTTTGCATACCAGGGGTATTTTGGTCCAGGGGTATTTAGTCCGCTTGGCCCTTCTTTCCCTTTGTTTTCAAGTTAAAAAATGTGCCCATTTAATAGAGAATTTGATAAGCAGGCACACGCTGTCCTTTTTCCCCGCATTTCATTTAATTAAATTATATCTTAAGCTTTCGTGGAATCCTTCAGAAAAATGAAACAAACAAAAGGCTCTCGAGATGCAAAGCCAGCGTCCACCTTAGTATCCCTAATTATATATATAGCATGGCAAATACACTGTAAGCAAAACTTGGGCACGTTTTGACAGTTCTGTAAGTGTCAAGAGGGTCTATAAAAAAATGAAAATAAAGAAAATAGGGAAAAACAAAAGGAAACTAAAATGAAATTTCGTAAAAATAGCTTTTCGTTTTCTCTGATTCCCCAGCTGCCTCTGTGGCCGTCTCCTCCTGGACCCTGGTGGCCATCAGCTGCGAGCGTTATTATGCCATTTGTCATCCGTTGCGGTCGAGGTCCTGGCAGACAATTAGCCATGCCTACAAGATAATCGGATTCATATGGCTGGGCGGCATTCTCTGCATGACGCCAATAGCCGTATTCAGTCAATTGATACCAACGAGCCGGCCAGGTGAGTGCGCTGCTGTCGATGGCCAACCAAGTAGCTGTTGTCGAATTTGCCGCAGGTTTCTGCAAATGCCGCGAGCACTGGCCCGACCAGGGCTACGAGCGTTTCTATAATATTATGCTGGATCTCATTCTGCTCGTGCTGCCCCTGCTGGTGCTCTGCGTTGCCTACATCCTAATAACACGCACTCTCTACGTGGGCATGGTTGTTGGCAAGGATGTGCGAACATTGCCACCGAGCAGCGGCAGTGCTCAGACGATGGCAACGGCGGCTATAAGCGCTACGCCTGGCAGCAGCAGCTGTGTTCTGGTCCTGAATGTAACGGCCGACTACAATGGTAAGTGGCGCGATATATTTTACCCAACAATCCTACTCCCCTCCCATAAAAACCGAATTGCACGTCAGCAAATGCGCATTTTATGCCCGAATATTCGCAGAGAGCAGCAGCAGCAACAACAACAACGCAACGCGAAGCACAGCAGCACCAGCAGCAGCAGCGGCGGCAACAACAACAACGACACTTACAACGACAACAACAACAACGACATTGACAACCGTTACGCCGGCTAAGACCCCAACCGCCTCGCCGAGTCTACGCATCCACGACGCGGCGCTGCGCAGGTGAGCTCCGTCCAAATAACCCTTAATCCCCAGCTGAGCCCAGTCCAGCCCAGACCAGACCAGCCCAGACCAGCTTAGCCCTTAGCTGCGTATTATCATATATTAGTCATGGACCCAAATTTCCGAATTGGCCTTGCCATAGCACTTAGCATAATTAGCCAGCCAAACTAGCGAGCCATCTCGCTTATCTGCTTACCAGATATTCAGAAACATTTCAATGAACGCGGCTCTGGCGCACTTCATCAGTCGACTCTGATTTGATGCTGGCTGAGAGTGTCTCTTTAACTGGGATTGCAAACGAAATTATGAACGAATTGAGGAGCTGAATCTAAATGAACTGAATCTTAACGCTGCACAGTGGGGCAAAAATATTCATTTCAAATGGGGGGGAAAAAAATGGATTCATGGAACAAATAAAGAATTGAACTGGGGCCGAATCTAAGAGATTTCTTAAAGTCAGAAATAAATAAATATTGTTAATTATAAAAAAAAATATAATAATAAAGACAGAAATTTTGGGATAATACATGTTTCTAAATATTAAAAATATATAAAAAAGTTATTATTGTCTTGATATTAAAATTGTATTTTTTTTTTATTCAAAATAATTTTTTTTTCTTATTAATATTATATTTTTTATAAGAAAAATATAATATTGATATACAGAAAAAATAATAGGATATTAAAGATATTAAGCAATGGGATAGCTTCTGGGGATACACTAGGGACGTACTTCATGAATTCAGGATAAATGCTAGAATGAGGTGTTAAGTAGATACTACTTGATAAGTTCTGGATACGAGGTGTAGATGTTAAGTATATACTATTAGATCTTAGTTGTGGCTGCAAGTAAAAAATGTCGAGCAAGCTAATACCAAAATTGAGGTAGATATTAAGTAAATACTAGACATATGAAGGATATATACCAAGCGGATACTACATAAATACTATAGGTATTCATATGTATTAATATGATATTAAACTGATACTAAATACATAAAACTCTACATATATATGTACATACATTTGGTATAAATATTACATACATATATACATACATTTGGTATATACATATACATAGATACATTCTTATCTAGATACGCTTTGTATTTATACTAGATATATGCTTGTATAGTAGATGCTAAATAAGTACAGGATAAATGCTAAATAAATACATTATAAATACTAAATATATACCAAACAGCGCCTATGTATATGCTAGATATATATGCAATATATGCTAGATATATACCATACTGCATATATACTATATAAATACTATACTAAATACTGCATATATATTGGATATATGCTAGAGAAATACTGAATAGATGATGGATACTTTGCATTAAATTTCTAACTTAATTTAATATTTTCTAAATTGAGTTCCAAGTATCTAGATATATACGAGAGCTATTAGACCTTCGTTGTCTATCATGTAGAAGTTTCTTATGGTCAGGGTTATCTGTGGCCTCGAATTGCTGTGGCTATGGCAAATCGATAGCAATCCCCTCTAGATATATATATGTATATATATTGCTATACAGCAATAGCTAAAATATACCACCATCATATATGTACCCAATGATAGAGGCAAAACTCAAATTATCATCTGTCTGATCTCTCAACTTTCACAGATCCAACGAGGCCAAGACGCTGGAGAGCAAGAAGCGCGTGGTGAAGATGCTGTTCGTGCTGGTGCTGGAGTTCTTCATCTGCTGGACGCCGCTGTATGTGATCAACACGCTGAGCATGTTCATCGGTCAGGCGCTGTACGAGTACATTGACTACACGACGATCAGTTTTCTGCAGCTGCTGGCCTACTCCTCCAGCTGCTGCAATCCGATTACCTATTGCTTCATGAACGCCAGCTTCCGGCGCGCCTTTGTGGACACCTTCAAGGGATTGCCGTGGAAGCGCGCCGGCACGGCGGGCGGCCAGCTGTCGGCTAGCCAAGCGAATGCCAATCCCGGCCTGGTCATGGGCCTGGACACCTGGCGCACACGGTCGCGCCACGATCAACAGGTGAACTCGGTGATCTATACGAACAGTGCCGTTGCCGCCGACAGTCCGCAGCTCTAAGGCTGCCAGCTCTCTGCTCGGATCGGACGCACTTTTGGGATTAGTTGTCTATCTAACTACTATATATATATATATATATAATTATATATATATATATTGCGTGTAAATATGTAAATGTCGCTTGGGTTTTTTTTTTGGTAGCTTTTATTTTTTACATAACAATTTAATAACTAAGTATTTTCGATGTTTCAATTACATACGATTCCTAAGGGTTCCAACAATAAATAATAATAAAAATCAAACTAAAAAAATACAAAAAAATTGGTCATTACATATCTGAACAGAATGCGGGCCTTTAGCTTGGTCACCAGCCAGAGCTCGCGTGCCCAGTACTTCAGTTGGTGCAGGGTGGGCAGACGTATAGTATAAACCCTCACATAGGGAGGGAATCCGACTGGCCTATAGTTATTATAGTTCTGGTTGAGGTTGTTGTGCAAGTTTTGAAAGTTGCGGAAGTTGTTGCGAACGTTGTTTTGAAAGTTGTTGTTGTAGTTGTTGTTATAGTTGTTACGGTAATAGCCATAGTTATAATCATAGTCATAGTCATAGTTTCGGTTCGGGCTGTAGTTATAGCTATAGTTGTTGTTATAGTTCTGGGAGTACCAGCGGTCCATGGTCAGATTCTGAGCATTCAGCTGCTCTTGCGGATCGATGGGTGTGAAGTACGGATCGTTGGAGATTAGCATTCTATTCAGATCGAAGTGAGTTAAATTTTCGGCATATTCGCAATCGTAGTCAAAGCCGGTTTCGCCATCATCACCATCATCCTCGTCTTCATCATCATCGTCGTTGTCGTCGTCGTTGTCGTTGTCGTTGTCGTCTTCGTCGTCTCCGCCGTTATCATCATCATCGCCGTCATCATCGGCTTCATCCCCATCATCATCATCACGTGCGCCCTCATCGCTATCGGTATCATTAGTATCGGTATCATTACTATCATTATCATTAGAATTATCATTGTAATCATCACTATCATTATCATTATTACTAGCACTCTCATTATCATTTTCATTAGGAGTCTCATTATCATTATGAGTAGCACTCTCTCCATAATTGATAGCCGCATTAATGTTCTCATCTGAGTCACGTTCAGAGGGAGCCGTGATATCCAACTTATATACATGTTCAGTACGGAGCTTCTTCATCTCCGACTTTTTCATCAGGTCACATTTGAGAACCACGATCTCACCGAGAAACGGGATACGACGATTGTTAAGGGTCAGGGCACGCAGCGTGTCGCGCGGCTCCTTGTAGAGCACATAGAATGATGTGTCGGTGATGACACGCATTGTCTTCAGCGTGCCCACTTGGGTGAAGAAGTAATAGATGATGTGAAATAGACGATTCGGCACCTCGGACACACGCACAAAGCGGCCAGCGACGCGCATCAGATGTTCCGTATGGTATTCACGGTAAGTTTCTAGTTTTGGAAGTGTGAGTAGCCTGGGTGAGTAGCCTGGGCTATCCTCGACTCCCTCCTCGTTTTCCTCATCATCTTGTTTTTCACCATTTCCCCCATTTTCCCCATATTCCTCATGTTCCTCCTGTTCTGACTTCTCTTCGTTCTCCTCTTCGTCCTCCTCCTTCTCGTTATCTTCGCTATGTTCGCTATGTTCGCTAGCTTCGCTATCTTCGTTATCTTTCTTTTCCTCCTTTTCGTCTCCTTCTTCCTCACTTATCTTCGCTTCCTCTTCCACGCCTGTCTCGTCCTCTACGTCGCCCACGTCGCCATTCTTTTTGGGTGGCAAAGTAGCCAGAATTAGATTTGGAATCAACTGCTCCACCCTCGGAACACGCTTGTAACACATGAAGAGCTCATCAATCGGTCCGCCAAGGAACGGCGGAAGATAACGATCATGCGGATGTTCTTCAATCCAGCGCTCTTCAAACGTGTACAAATTCATTTTTGATAAAAAACGTTAACTTGGTGTGAACAAATAACTAAAAATATATTATATGAATTTGGAAAATTTATTTTTATTTTTGTACTTTTTTGTTTTTTGAACTAACTTGTATTGTTGCTCCGGTAAAAATGAATAGATTTCCGAAACGAAAAAGGCTACAGCCACAAAAATTGTGCAAGGCTGACTTGATCGTCTATTTTATTGTACAAAAATTATCTACAAAGTTTCACTCATATATCATGAATTTACGAAGTGTGTGAACGGGGCGAAGTCTCTCTTTATCACAGCTACAAGTTTTCACCCACAGATCGAATTTGTCTTGAAATGTTATTTCCAGTTTTTTAAAGGTCTATTTGTCGACCTTTCCGATAAAAGTATTTAAATTTGATAAAACGCTTATAATATTATGATTTCACTTTAAGCGAAATTCCCGCAAATAAACGAGACGTATGCAAATATTTGCTTCAGATTAATTTTGGCAAATCTTCTTGAAATATAATCCGAGGAAAATGTCTCGACTGTCTGAGCAGCAGCTGGAATAGATTATAAAATTCTTGTTAACTACACTTGACAGCGACAAGGTACATGTAAAATTTCAGAAAGGCCTTAGATGATGGGTAGATGAGTGCCTGTTGCTGTTGTATTAAGCCCATTGTTGCTGTTAATTAAGAAGTACTCCAGGGCCACGCTGCCGCTGTCTTGTGCCAAATTCAGTTGCTGGAAATATCAGAGAGAGGGGGGAGATGAGAGGCAGAGGATGGCAGAGCCTGCTGTGGCTCTTAATTGTCGCCAGAGTTGCTTTTAGTGGACAAGTGGCGAGCTCTTGCTCTCGGCTCGAATGCAACTACCCAAATGGCCATCTCAGGCGTGGCCCGGTTGACCGGGCCAACCCTTGTCCGGTCCGTAAGCGGCTTGGGCTCGACGTTTGCTTTTGCCGCTGTCGTTGAGCTTGCAATTAAAATGTTCATTTCGGTTGCATCCATTATGAAGAAATAAAAAAAATATTAAAAAAACACACACACACCGGAAAATGAAAGATGGAAAATGAAAAATGTGAGCACAAGCAAATAGAGCGCACCGAGCACTCAGTACGGCCGGACATTCGGCTAAGACTTTTGAAAGCAATTTAAGCTGCTTTGCACATTGTGTCATTAAAATAAAATACGTTAATTTCCGCATCGAACTGAAATGTCATCGACCAGAGTCTCCTAGCCAATTTTGGCCGCCTCAAACGAGCTGTGACAAATGCGCCTGGGGATCAATTTCAAATTAGAAAACCCGAACATGTTTCGACCCGCTGAAGAGCTGAGAAAAGGTGAAGTCAAAAAACATTTCCAATGCGATTTCCCCGTGGACAAATTAAGCTGACTTTATGCCACAGAACCAACTGAACGGAACAACTATTACCTATATACTATTTCAGCAATAGAGCTCGAGCTGCGGTCAAGCGCCTGCCGAAACACTTCATCTAACGTTACGTTCTCTGGGACTAATTCGAATGTATTGCGAGACCATGTTAAGTTGTAAGTTCTGCTCGCAGTGTTAAGTGCTTGACGGCTTATTGAAATCTATTGTTATAATATTGCAGGAGACAGCAAGGAAGAGCTAGATTACATTACGTTACGTTACCTTGTGACGTGTTACGTTGAGCTACTTTTCGCTACTTTACATAGGTATCACCACACTCCAATTCCCTTTAAAGAACGTTATATTATTCTGTTATATTAACAGACGGTAAATTACGTAACAGCATGGTGCAATAAGTTATGTACGTTATGTTATCATACGTTAAATACGCAACAGAACGTTGATGTACGTAATTATATATTAATAGACTTTAAATAACGTAGCGGACGTTACCTTACTTTATATCATATCTACTTACGTTATATTACGTAACAAGACGTTGTTACTTATTATCACACTTTAAATTACGTAACAGAACGTTGTAACTTATTGTCGCACTTGAAATTACGTAACAGAACGTTGCTTACGTAATGAACGTTTATTTACGTAATGAACGTATCACGTTATGTTAATTAACATGCTCACCCTTACATTATCTCATTTAAGTTTATGTTACGTAATATTAGATAAGAATTTCTTCAGTTGTAGAACGTAAAATTACGTTATCGTGCGTTACGTGTTTTGTAGCTTACGTTACGTAACGTTAGATTCGAGTATCTTGAATTGCAGAGCGTTACATTACAGCATCTTGCGTTACGTTCTTTTGTAGCTTACGTTACGTAACGTTAGATAAGATCACCTTCGATTGCAGAGCGTTATATAACGGCATTATACGTTACGTTAATTTTATAGCTTACGTTGCGTAACGTTAGATTTATATTGGGTTTTGTTCTGTTACGTTATGGCATGCTTATATAGAGCTGTAGCCAACAAGTGTCAACAAAAAAATGCGCAAATGTTTGCCGGCTTTGCACCACTGTGCATTGCTGTTAATTTGCATGCATCTGGATTGCAAATGTGAAATGGTTCGCATTTTCATTCCATGCTGATGCCTGGCCAAGTTGAGCTGTCAACAATGCTCGGCACCCAGACAACTTGTGCTTGGCGAACACTCTTTGCCAGTTTGTTGATTACAGTCTCATTAATGAACCTGTTAGCGGGCTAAGAACAAGAGCAATTCACCTGCTTCAATTAGATTATCCGCGCAGATGAATCTCTGCTCCATCTCCATCGCCATCTCCATTTCCATTTCCAGGAACAGCAACAGCAATTGCAATCGCATCGTCTGCTGGACCAACAACATTCGTTTGCCAACTAATTTGTTAGCCTGGCTGAAAACTTAAGCAGGCCACACCAGACTGAATATAGATGGCACCCAGCCAAGCTGACTGAGAGCGAGAGATACTGAAATTTGCATTATATCATTTCTTTGTTTTAGTTTTTTTGTAATTTTGTTTCTTTTGCTTTTGCACATGAGGCGGATATCCAGACGGAGACGATGGCAGCTCAACCAGAGGGCTGCTCAGAAAGTTTCGTTATGTTCAAGTTTATGTTATCAGCGGATACTTAGGAAGATCTATCTTAAGAATTTAATATAGGGTGTTTAAGGTATATAAGGTTAGAGTACAGTTGCTGTCTTCAACTCAGTTCTTGATTTATATACGAAATATATATATGTAAAAGATAAAT